GTAATGGAAAACAGATAATTTCATCCACTGCTACTAGTTCTCAGAACATTAGTTCATTATTTTTCATTTAGGGTGGTGAGACATACATTGTCTGTGTTTGTATCTTCAGAAGAAGCCTCCTCCTTTTTCTTCAACATTGCGTCCACATCCCTCTCATAATGGGTGACTTCAGTAAGTGTGCGTGGAATGTAGGCTTTCTTAAACACCTATTTTGAGACAGATCCACCTGTGAATCATTAGAAAAGGTTCCCACAACACTGACCTTTGTGATTTCATGATTGCTGTACTACATGGGTTTTTTAACAAAATCATTTTATAGAGATAGCTAAGAATTTCCATTTCCATTTGTATGATTCCTTGAAGTGTTAAAAATTATATTTTGTGTACAAATGTCTTCACAACGACCATCAATGGACAGTGTATATGTGTGTGTATATGAGATATTACAAAATTAGCAAGTGTTTACCAGTTTTATTTTAGTATTATTTATATACTGTTATAGTATTTATTATTAATACTTTGTATTAGCTTTATTTTGTATATTTTTTGCTTTCATTTTAGTTTTATTAATTGTTGTGTTTGTCATTTTTATTATAAAATTATTTTTTTTTAAATTCATTAGTTTTATTTCCGTTTTAGTACTTCAGCTTAAGCTTTGGTTAGTTTATAAGACTGTTGCCAACATTTCTAATTTTTGTTTGTCTAGTTTAAATTTGTCAAGTTCAATTCATATTTTATTTCAGCATTATTTCAATTAATAAATTATTTTTAATAGTTTTAGATTTAGTTAACTATAACAATACTGACCGTTACTCTATACAAGTGCTCACAAAGAGCAATATTTGACTATTTTAGAGCGGGGAAAACCAAAAAGAAAAAACCCCCTCATATTTACCACAGAAAGAATGTTTCAATGATATTTTACATTTTCATTACATCTAATTTCCATGACTTTTTTCAGGACTGCACATTACTATTTAATAATTCTACAATTTTCCATGACTGTGTGAACTCTGGTAGCTTGGACAGGGATGCAAATGTTGAGAAATGTTAAAAATGAGTTCACCTCCTCGTCAACTTTGTCCTGATTGGATCTTTCCTCTGCAGTTCTTTCAGAT